AGACAGAAACAGATCTGAGCTGCGGTGCTGGGAGACAATGACAGGGCTAACTCTTTGTCCCATTCCATTCCCCCAATTGGAAATGGCCCCCTGGGCTCCTTTAAAGAAAAAAAAAAGTATCATAGAATCACAGAGGAAGATTCACAGCCATGATACCATAGCTAAAAGGACCTTTGCTTGTGGCCACCAGTCTTAATTGAGATAGTGGTGAAACCTGGAGGAGGGCTTTGTTCAAAGATCTATGGAATGAGAGCAGAAAACACTGTTGTGGACTCTCTACCTCTCCATGCAGTGGGAATTTCCATGGACAGTGGTTGCCAGCACTGGATTTCCATTGGATGCATGGTCATACAAGTGATTTTTGCTTTATTTACAACTATACAAGTAGAGCACAAGTGAAAGAAAAAGATACTCCTGCAGGGCAGCAGATCTACTTCCCAGCATCTGTTCCTCAGATAGAGAACCCTTGCACCTCAGGGGAAGGGAAAGGAGTTTGTAAGCCACTTTGAGACTCTGAGTGAAGGGCAGGGTATAAATCCAATCTCTTCTATTCTTCTTCTTTACTTACAGCCAAGTTGTAGCTTTCTTTCTGCATCTTTTTCTCTGTCTCTCTCTCTCACACACACATACACCCTGATTCTCCCTAGAGCTCTGATAGGTATCATGCCCAGGAACTATGTGGAGACCTATTGAAGAAACATCCAGAGCCATTAAAGAACTTGAAAGGCCTTGACCTCCATTCAAGCATTACTTGAGCCCAAGCTGTAGTGATGAACTGATTCACTGTAATCAGACAACAAACTCTCAATGGTATGGAAAGAAGTGTTCCCACAGACAGGAAGATACTGAGCTGTTCTTGGCCATTAAATTAGTTCCATGTACAGTTTCACTGTATCCTGGGAGAGAATATATGATGAATTGTAGCCTCCATGGGCCTGGCTTCCACTTTCCTAGTAGTAGTAGAACGAGAGGGTTTTTTAAATAAAACATTTACTTTTACTTTTTGTGTGTGCTGTTGACTTACTCATTCTTGTTTTGTTATTTGTTACCTTTTCTGTTTATCATCTATATATCTAATAGCCAAGTGGCCCTGTCTGTGCGGATATCTAAATCTTCGCTCCGGGGCCACTTGGAGCGTTCTGGGCGCGTGCGCACGGAACGCTCTGCGAAGGCCGCCGCCGCCGCTTGCGAGGGGAACGGCGAGCAGGGGGGGAGGCAGAGCGGCGAGGGCTGAGCGGCACGCCGCTCGGCCCTTGGCTCGGAGCCGGGGGGTGGGGAGAGTAGCGAGGGGCAGCCCCAGACCGGCTCGCCCCTCACCCCACATACCGACTTGCACCAGGTTGAGCCCGTCGAGCCACGAGGTGGCCGAGCCCCTGCCAGGCCCTCCTCCTGCCGCGCCGTCACCGCCTCCTTCCCCAGAGGAGAAGCCCGCCGCCTGCCCCGGCAGAGCTCGCCCGGCGGACTGCTTTGGAAGGTGTGCCGGGATTGGGGGGGTGGAAGAGTAGTGAGGGCCGGGGGGGGAAGGGAGAGAGAGCAGCGCCGACTTCCCTACTCCTACTGCTTCCTCCCCCCCCGCGAGTATCGCGGGTCCCCCTCTTGTTTCCTTTTTATTGTTTTATGAGTTGGATTTGGCAACATGGCCTTCTTACTACATTCAGTATTGTATATTATGTGAACTATTCATTTGCACAAAGTAGAGGTGCTGTCCAAACTCATACAGCAGTTTGCAGCGCTTACCTTCAACACATTAGAGAGCTTTAGACCCCTGATTCCTTCTCCAGCTTAGAATATATACATGTAATGAAGAAGACCTCTTCTTACCCTGCCTCCCCATATTACTCCTCTTTCTCCTCATCTCCCCGCAAAGTCAGGTTGTGGCTGTGGCTAAGCCTTACTGGCAGAGCATCTGCTTTTCTTGCACAAAATCTCAAATTCAATCCCTAGCATCTACTGTTAAAATGTCCAGGTAGAAGGTAATCTGAAAGACCACTACCCAAGACCTTGAAGAGATGCTGCCCATCAGAGTAGACAGTACTGACTTTTATAAAGCAGTGGTCTGACTCTGCAGAAGGCAGGTTCATATATGTGCCTGTGCAGGCAGGCAATGCCCGCAGACAGCTAGACACACAAATAGGAAAAGTCTCTGTCCCTCCCTCTGTCTCTTCTTACTTCTTCCTTACTTTGGACACCATTCCAGCTGTGTCCAAATGCCTAGTGTACACTGGGTAGTTTTTTGGAAATGTTTTTGAGTCCAATTCCAAGGTGAACCCAAAGAGTTATTTCATCTCCAGGACAGATTACCACGTGGGAACAGTTAGTCAAGTCATTGGTACACTTGGTTTGGTGAGAGTAATAACTACTAGGGAAAGGGGAAATTGGCCCTTTAAGGAAAATGGCCTTTCAGAGTGAGCTTGTCTAATAGGATCCCAGGGTTTTGGTCTTGAGTTGACCTGCTTCTTCTCAGTCATTCAAGGTTTCTGTGGCTTGCAGTTTGAAGGTCTATCAAAAGCTCCCTTAAAAACATTTTCAAGTCCTTGCGTCAAAGAGAACCTTTATGCTACCCTCTTGGGCAACTCTGTCTTCTTGAAGCCTCTTTTGCCTTAATTTGCTTAGACAGTTGACAAATCCGTCACTTCGGGTTTATCCTCCAGATTCTTTATCTTAAGAGAGAACCACCAACGTCATGTACAAAAAGGCCTATGGGTAAAAACAATAAAAGGATACCAGT